GCCTTGCCAAATTGCAAGGGCCCAGCCAGACTGACAGCCGAATGTCCGTCATTCAGCAAATCACATTTAGTGCAATGTTTGCAGCTAGTCTGGATAACATGCAAATGACAATCTCGAAAATTTCATTGCTAAGTAAGGTGTTCGTTAAGTGAGTTTGGCCCCTTTTACGACCTTTCTTGCCACAGTTGTTAAGTGGATCACTGTAAGTTGACAACTTAGTAACCTGGTTGTTAAGGGAATCTGTATTCCCCTTCAAATTTGCTTGTCAGAAGGTCACAAATGACGATCACAGGACCCAGGGAGACAACAACGGTCATAAATACGACTCTGTTGCCAAGCATCTGAATTTTGATCACGTGACCGTGGGAAATACTGCAGCGGTCGTAACTGTGAAAAATGGCCATATGTCTCTTTTTTCAGTGCTGTAACTTTGAATGGTCACTAATTGAACCATGGTAAGTTGAGGACCACTTGTAATTGGGTGGTTTTGGGCCACTCACTTTCAGTCCTGGCAGGATTCCTGTTTGCAAAGGGGCGATCCCAAAGTAATCTTCCACAGCTCTTATAGATGAGTTAGTAAATCTATCCCTCAAACCAATAAGTATATCCTGAGTAATCTTAACAAAACCAGAACTGATGCAGCGAAGAAAAATATGCCAGGATAATTTTCTTCCTTTTAAATATGTGACTCTAAATGTTTGACAAGTTGCTTTTTTTAAAAGGTCCCCAGAGCTTACTCATTGATTTCCCAGACTCCAAAAGATGGCCTGCATTTATGTTAAAAATAATACCAAATTAAGTAGCACGGCACGTACATTCTCGTTTTTCTTCCCTTGTCTTTCTATTTTGGCCACTGTTCAGAAAGTTTGCATCCTGGCCAAGGCATGGAATAAATTACGACAGGATCCTGCTTGTGGCCATATTGTTGAATTCAAAGGCTCTTAGCTATTCTTAGTTTGGATTTGACTTTGTGTATTGTAGGAACCTCAGCTAACCATGATACAGTTATGCTTAATGCAATATTGTGAGCCCAGTTTCAAGGAATCCAGTGACCATTTTTTTCCTGACTAGGGTGTCTCAGGTTTTCTATTAAAATATGTACTAAGGGGCTGGATTGTAGCTAACTCAGACTTGACGGGAGCCAACTTCTAGATTGCATTATGGAGCTAGCTGTTGGTAACATTTTGAGCTGATGGATCATCAAATCAGTGTCAGCTCGTAACACCCACGTATAGATAGTCCTTGATTTACAGCGTTATCCTCTGCATCTTTGAACTTTTATTTAAATATCAGAACAGGTTTTGTTGACTTCTGGACTGGACTTTAATTCAATCTTTCCTACCGAATTTGCCATAAGTGCCGATGCTTGTTCTCAGCCTCAGACTGTTGACTTCACCTTTTGCCGTCTGAAATTCCAGACAGGACAAAAATTTAGAGTCACCGAGGCTTAAGGTGGGGTGTTTAATCTTTAACTTGGCCTTTTCAAATAATATTTTTAAAAAAAACATCAGATCAGCCACCACAAATATTAGGATTTGGGACCCCTCCATATTTGATTCATGGAACAGTCCTAAGTAATTACTTGAGCGAGATATGAAATTCTTGAGCAAATTTTCTGTGTTTTGTCAGTTCTAGCTCCACTGAGGACCATTCTTTTGTCAAGCAGGTTTTTGGGTCAAGTTGAACATTGTTTTGGATGATCCATCCATGGGATGGCAGAGTTAGGAAATTATTTCTTAAAAGTTACTCTTTAAATTGAAAAGATGACAAGGTCTCCCGCTAAGGAGACAGAGAGGTATATGTGAAAAAGAATCCAATTTTAAAAAATACTTGTTTCCCTCTCTTGTGCTTGGTTTTTACTGTGACAAAATGAGCATTGCAGACCCTGGTACATCTCACACATCCATTTTCACACTTACGACCATTGCATCATTCTCGAGGTTACGTGATCAAAATTTAGATGCTTGGCAACTGACTCGTATTTATGACGGTTGCAGCATCCTGGAGTAATCCCCTTCTGACAACCAAAGTCAATGGGGAAGCCAGTTTCACTTAACAACTGTGTGCCTAACTTAACATCCACAGCGATTCAGTTAACAACAAATGGTTGTAAAATGAGGCAAAACCCACTGAAAAAATGTCTCACTTAACAGCATAAATCCTTTTAAGTCGAGGATTATTTGTATGTTGTTCTGTTATGGAATGATTTTTCCAGTGTTTTCTACACCGTTTACCTATTTTCAGCATTGTTATTATTTCCATGGGAGAATTACATAAACCTCAAGCATTTTTGTTTCCAATCTTAAGCGACGCAAGCAAAAACCCCTTTTTGCAGCCCTTGACAGGGCTGCCAAGTTAAAACCCTCCTGAACAACTAAAACAAAGCCTCCTTGATTGGATTTATGCTAATGGGTCTGCTGTAGGCATTTCTAATTCTTTTCCACGTCCTTTCAGAATTGCCTGGGAGTATTCCTGAGGAGACCATTACAGGTAGAATGAATGCATCGCAGGTCAGGTGCCACAAGATGGCATTAGCTGAGGGCCCATTTGCCATCAGGAGGAGCTGCAGCAAAGGCCTTATTAGAGAAGAGAAAAATTGGCTGCTCTTTCATTTGCAGACAGGGAAGAATTTCCTAGGATCAGATTTATTTTGACACTGGGTGAAGAGAAAATGGAGGGGAAACTCTTTTCTTTCCAACAAATACCTGCTTTGTGCTTGGGCCAATTCTAAGTGACACTGCTAAACTCCCGGAGAATGTAGAACAGAACAGAATAGAATCATATGGCCTCAGAACATGACACATGATCCTCAACTTATGACACAATTGAGTCCAAAATTTATGTTGCTAAGCAAGACAGTTGTTAAATGAGTATTGACCCAGGCTACTCTGCAAACCACTTAGGGCTGTAAAGCACTGAGAAGCGGTATATATATATATATAAGTCCTAAGGGCTGTGGCTGTGGATATTGAACCGCTGTTAAACGAACGGCATCTAATTACCTGTGCTTCAAATTCTGCCGTTGCGATTAATGCTTCTCTTTTCCTTAGATCACTTTGTATTCTTTCAGTAACTTGTAAGTTCATAAATTGTGGCTCCCAATTTGTCTTATGTTAATCTCCCCTGTGGATCCTGCCAATATATATATGTATGTTCTAAACCCTTTACATTGGTATTCTCCGAATAACTCTTTTCCGGTTGTCTCATTTGCTGTGATTACAGATGGAGCAGGGAGACTAGTTTTCTGTAATTGATTTTCTGAGGTTAATTTATATAGAACAAAGCTGCTGTGTGCCCACCGTTGTAACTGATCCTGAGTTACTAACTGCACAAGAAGCAGACACCTGGAGCAACAGAGGAGTGGGCTTGCTGAGTAATACCCACCCACCCGCCGCCGCCTTTGAACACACAAAGTGGGCGTTGTGTTTTCCCTGTGAGTTTTAATGCCGCCCTTCTGTCTCACCTTATTTTGTACTGCTGTTGTTTCTGTGGCCAACCCATAACGTCTCCCAGGCATCCACAGAAGCGTCAAGCCAAGAGAAAAACAAGGAAACGCTGGCAGCAAATAAGACAAAGGAAATGGATATTGGCTTAAGACTTAGCAGGTCTGGTTGCAGGATTCAGGATTATCCCCGGATGGAAGTAAAGCACAGAAGAGTTTTAGGTCTCCTGGCTGCAGGAGTCTCGAAAAGAGGAAGGAAAGTTACGGAGGAAGCTAGTTTTGGAGGCTCAGGCAGTTTTGCAGCATTGATCCAGGCGGGAACGCAAAACTTGAGCATGTGGAAGCCTTATTCCTGTTCTCAGATGAGTCGCTGCTTCTCTTCTTCCCCATTCTGGGTGAGAATAACTCCTCTTGCGTTCTCTTGAAGCTTCCCCAAGGGAAGGGCGGTCTGGCCAAACGGCGATTTTAAGACAATTTTAAGACAGGAGGTGTCGTAGCTGGCATTACCAGGTGACATTACAAACCGGTTGGTCCACTAATGGCCACGTTGCGATGCTCGGGGCGCACTGCCTGCCAAACCGGTTTCTAATCCTCACGGTCCTCTCCGCATTAACTCTGCTTGCTGGCTGCTTGCTGGCTTTTCTCCTCCTCTGCGGGCGTTCTTTTTCTCCCATGTATTCCTGATACAATAACAGATAATCAGAGTCGGAAGGGACCTTGTAGATCATCTAGTCCAACCCCCCACCCAAGCGGGAGACCCTGCGTCATTTCTGACAGATGGGAGTCCAATCTCTTCTTGAAAGTCTCAAGTGGTGGCACAGTTCCTGATTCTGCTCTTGATTTGCAATGCAGTTGGCAAGAGCCCTTAGACTTATATACCTCTTCTCAGTGCTGTGCAGCCCTCTCTAAGCTGTTTACAGAGTCCCAATAACCTGGGTCCTTATTTGACCAACCTCCGAAGGACAGAAGGCTGAGTGGACCATGAGTCGGTCAGGATCAAACCGCCAGCAGTTGGCAGAAGGGGATCGCACGACCCCGGGACACAGCAACCGTCATAAATATGAATCAGTTTCCAAGCCTTTGAATTTTGATCACGTGACTGTGGGGAAGTTGCAACGCTCGTGTGAAAAATGGTCATAAGTCACTTTTTTCTCCAAAGGGTCACTAAATGAACTGTTGTAAGTTGAGGACTACCTGTATCTTGCCTTTTATTACGTGTCACACAAACATGGTGTGCCATTATTTAAATAAACAAAACCACAATTGTTCTTGTTCGCCCCATCCTGTGTTACACGGTCAAATCATTCCCATGTTATAAATAAAGAGCAAATTCCATCCCTTCCACAAACAAGCAAAACACGGCTGCTAATTTAATCCTGCCTTTGGGGCAGCTAGTTTAGCCTTATTGCTAATTTCCTGGGTGATAAAACCAGGGATTAACCACCCTTTTACATTAATAATATGATACTAACATGAAGGAATCGGACAGAGATATAATTGTTTAGAAACGTGTACAGTAATTAAAAAAATAATCTGTCAAAAAAGTGTAAGGACACTGTTTAAATTAGAGCAATTTATTATTATTATTATGGTTTTGCTGAACTTGACGAAGATTCCCAGAGATTGATAACACGACACAATCTTAGTGCACCATTTCACAACTAGTCCCTTGTTGGTTTTATTAAGAACATAGTAATTTAAAAAATAGCTAAATATGTACATATTAATAAAACATATATACATAAGATTGAGACTTTTACCTAAATATGGGATGATTTTTCCTAATAAAACCTATAAAAAAAGACGCCCGGAAAAAAGTTTTAATAGTAGTCACAGTTAAAGTCAACACGAGTACAATTGTTTTTAAAGATTCGTAAGACTGATGATTGTAGGTTAAATGGTTACAATACGTACGCTTTGTAGATTTATGGAAAAGACCAAGAAATTTCGTTTGTGGAGGAGAACGCCACTGGCCTCAAAAAGAAGATCTGGGATTGTTACAGACTACAGCACTAGCCAGGTTTATCAAGTCTTCAAGAAAAGACAGCCGCGTTTCAGCGATAAGTTGGTTGTACTGCATTAAGTTTAAAAATTTATAAAAAAACAGTATTGAACTGCAGAAATGATTATTTTTAGCAAGCTGAAAAAGAGGGTTTCTAAACACACCTTTAGACTCTGCTAGAGATGCCTACGAGGGTATCAATGAATTTTTCATGTATACCTTCATGTAAAGCTGGGGTGTCCAACCTTGGTCATTTTAAGACCTGTGGACTTCAGGCTCCAAAGTCCACAGCTCTTAACATGGCCAAGGTTGTACACCCCTGATCTAAGGTATGAGCAGACCTTCTCATGTCGAGTCTAGGAGATACAGGGGACTTCAAAACCAAGACAAACGCAAAAAAATTCAGGTGGTGTTTGTGAGCTATCGGAGTGTATTGAAGATTAGCGGAGAATTGCTAGCCATGTTCCCGCCAGCTTTTGTTTGAAAAGAGAAATATTAACGTAGGCCTCCAAATATCCTGTCACCTCTTAAGGGATGGAATAAGGAGAAGACATGTATGCAGGTGGAAAGAATCTTCTCAAAATTGTATCCTCCAAAAAGTGCTCACAATTCCTAATCCCCATAAATTAGCAAAACCAGGAGAATGGAACCTAAGCGCCCAGAGTTGATGGCTCTTAGTTCACTAAAGAGAGAATAAAATATATCATCACTCCTCTATGCATCCGGGACCTCAACAGTCTGCGACAGTTACAAGGGTGAAAAACAGTCACGTCACTTTTTTCAGTGTAGTCGTAATTTGGGTCACTAAAAGAACTGTTGTAAGACGAGGACTACCTGTATTGAAATGCTGGACAAAAACTGAGTGAGAAAGGGAAACTAAGATACATGTCTACATGCCTTTGATACAGAAGGGCTCTTGAGGCATGAGGCAAGGAGGAAGACATGTCTTGAACAATTACACAACTGTCTTGAGATCCTACTTTTAAAACTACCGGTCAGAATCCTGCCTTGGGCAGAGGGTTGGACTAGACAACCTCAAAGTTCCCACCCAACCCAATGATTCTATGAATGATTCCTGAAATACTCTTTGTTTTGGAACTTCAAGGCAATATTATGAGAATCAAATATCAGAGAAAAACTAAGGGGACTGCAGAATATGGAAAACAACTTTTCATCTTTAAGAGTATTTGATCTGGATTAAATGTGACATCGCAAGTAGTATTTATTAATATCTTATGGTCACATATAATGATAGCAATTCTGCTTCTGAAAACCAATAATTAATAATGATATCCAAATAGAAATTTACCTTGTGGGGATGGATGGAAGGAAAGGCTCAACTCAGAAACTCGTTAAATTAAGACTCATTAAATGTCTTAGAAGTTTGATTTTTGACCCCATGATTTCTGCACCAAAAACTCTACATGAAACGGAGGTGTCAGGAGCTCTTTATAAGATTAAGAGGAGACTTTTATTTTTCTTTCTCCCCGCTATTTAAATAGAATAGCCAGCACGCATGTACTTATGTGGGGAAATGCCATCATAAAATCAAAATTCATCCTATCACATTGGTTACCAGACTAATTGCACTAGAGCCTCTCTACAAACAAATCTAGTTATTTTGATTAAACCCAAAGGAAAAGTGATTTGTCGCTTAATAATTATCCACGTTAGAAAAGCATGAAAAACAAAAAAATTGATCGGAGATGGTGAAACAGGGGAGCACGGATAGCGAAGTAATCTAGAAAGTTTGCTGGCATCATTTCAAACTGAGGTTTCAATATGCTAATGAAACACTGGCACAGAAGGCGTGGCTTCAAGAAGGGCACCTGAAAAAGAGTTAAAAGTTGCAAATTAGCATTTTAAGGAACTATAATTATGACGCTGGTTGAGAGTTGCTTGAGCTTGGTGGTTTTCTTGCAGATGTTTCATGACCCAACTAGGTAACCTCATCAGGGCTAGAAGGGAGAGGGGTTTGCTCTCTGTTTATTTACAATACAACCCATTCCTCTCTAGCACTGATGAGGTTACCTACTTGGGTCGTGAAACTTCTGCAAGAAAACCAAGCTCCGAGAGCACCAAAGACCCCTCATTTCCACGCCGAGCTACAGATATTCTTCTTTATTGATATGAGGCATATTCTTAACAAGCATCTAATCCAAAAATCATTTGGGACAAAACTTGGCAATTTGCCTGCTCTTTGAAAAACCCAGAGGCCACAATTCACCTGATCCAGTTGGTCTCTTGGCCTGGTCATTAGCTCTGAAGCCCCCCTGTGGCTCAGGAGCCGGTCCAGGAGATGATCTTGAGGTCATCTGTTGGCAACCTTCTTTGGCTTTTTGTTGTTGTAGTTGTTGTTGCCAGCCCAACTCTTTATTTCCTTTTAAAAAAATTCTTCAGGATAACTTATTTTCTAACAGGCTTTGGGGCTTACTCGTTTCCCACTGTTTATTTTAAGCGTTCTTGATTTTAAATGTGTTTTTATTGCTAAGCTGCCAAGAAGTTCTGGCAGTTAGTGGTACAGTATATCTCACATTAAACAAAATTAAACAAGGAAACAAACCTTGGCGCCATTTACCTGCCTCTAGGAGAGAAATGTCCAGTTTCTCATCACCATCAGCCATTTCTGCTAAAGACAGATAATAAAGAAAAGAAAATTATTTTACAATTATTTTACTTGGGAGTTTAAAAAACAGCAAATGCAGAAAAGAAAAGAAACATGGATATTTATCTAAAAACAGGCTGTCCAGTTTTTTTTTTCTTTTTTCCAGAGACCACCCTGATACCATCTTCACCAAGCTGGCGAGGGAATTATGGAAGCTCTTGTAAAGTAACTTTAAGAGGAGTTGACTTCAACCCTCTGTAGCTCAGGGGTGGTAGTGTAACTGTGGGCTCTTCAGTGCCCCTGACGGTTTGCTTGAGATGTTTCATGACCCAAGTAGGTAACAGCATCAATGCTAGAAGAGGGTGGGGTTTGTAGAGAGGAAGAAGAGGAGGAGCAGAAAGAAAACGGGTTCGTGGTGCTCTCGGAGCATCATTGTTTTCTGGCAGACATTTAATGATCCAACAGCATCAGTGCTGGAAGGGAGACGGGTTTACAGACAGGAGGAGGAGGAGGAGGAGGAGAAAGGAGAAGAGAAGGAAAAAAAAAACTGGAGTCCTTGAGCTTGCAGGCGTCTCATGACCCAACTAGGTAACCTCATCAGTATATTGTATATTGTTTAACATTTGATATATAAGTGATACGCTTAGATTGTTTAGAGTTTTATTTTGTTGGTTATTGGCTACGATTAATCCTTTTTCACAGCTGCCTATAGTTTTAATAGCTTGGTACTTTAGCACTTTTAGTTTAGTTTTGTGTATTTTCTTTCTCAAATTTGTCACCCAGTGTAGTTAAAGGGCCTGACTCATGCATGTATGAAGAAGGCAGAGCTTCAGTTGTGCAGTTGCCGACTTGACCTCTCTCTCTCTTTTTTTTAACACCGCTCCTACCGTATGTTACTTTTGCTTCAGGGGATTTGGGTAACAGAGCTGCTTTCCACCAAAGTTCAATTTGTCCCTGACCGAAGAAGGCTAACCAACTTTTACAGTGGAAAGGATTTTATTGGTGCGTAATGCACACACACAAATACGTGAAATCCTTTTCGGATGTAAATCAATAACAACTGAGCAGGAAAAATGCCAAGCCACACAAAAACACTTTAATTACATTAAAAAAAAAACCACACACCACTGCATTAAGGATACAAAGTGGAAAATATGACTTTAAATTCACAAAGCGGCATTCCAAAAATCCACTTCAGTGCACTTTTGTTGATAACATTTGTTTCTCAGCCAAACCTTTCTCTCTCTCTCTCTCTTTTTCTTTTTTGCTGCAATGAATTCTAGGAAAAAGGCCAAACTTTGAAAACAAAGCAGACCGTAACAGCCCCTTGACAAAACGATGCGAAACACCGAAAAGTCAAGGTGTTTTTTTTTTTTTTCAAAAGCCAAAATCGGGGCAGGGGTGTTTGTAGGGAAACCAGAAAAGTCAATCGCAGCTGGAAGAGACCCCGGAGGTCTTCTAGTCCACCCCACCCCCCCCCCGCTCAAGCAGGAGAGCCTATGCCACAAACGGTTGTCCAGTCCTGCAGCGACGGAGCAGCTACAACCTCCAGAAGGAAGTCCTCCATCTTTGGAAATTTAGTTCCGGGTTGCTTCCCGCCTTGGTTATTGTCCATCCATTGCGTCTTGTTCTGCCTGCAGCCCTGGCCTTGGCAGGTTTAAGAGGGAAACGAGGCTAAATGGCCTCGCTGGGTTTCTAACGATTCGGCCTAATTGAAGTTATTTTCCACTTAAACCCTTGAGCGCAAAGCCCCGGCTGCAAAATCCTTCTCTCTCCCTCAGGATTTGATCCAGACATGTCCCCACCCGTCTTCTCATTCTTAAAATGCTTCTGGAGATGCCAGCGGCTGGCATCTCCGCTCAACCGCTCATTCCTCTCCGGCATTTTGTCTTCCCTACAGGGAGTCCTTGACTTACGACCACGACTGAGCCCAGCATTTCTGCTGCTAAGCGAGAAATTGGCGAAGTGAGTCTTGCCTCGCTTTATGGCTTTCCTTGCCACGGCTGTGAAGGGAATCCCTGCCGTTGATCAGCTGGGGACGTGTTCGTTAAGCGACTCTGGGGACTCTTCGACGTGGCCGGTCAGCAGGTCGCAAAAGGGTATCGCGTGACCCCACTGCGACTGTCACAAATACGAGCCGGTTGCCAAGCGGCTGGATTTTGATCACGTGACCACGGGGATGGCTGCAACGGTCGTTAAGTGTGAAGAAAGGGTCCTAAGTGCCCTTTTCCAATGCCATTGGGACTTCGGTCGGTCACTAAATGAACTGTTGTAAGTTGAGATCTACCTGTATACCCAGAAGGGGGGGGGAATTTGCAATGCAACTTTTGTGCTGTCATTCCCATTCCCACAGATAGAACCTGTGAATGCCGGCCTTGAAGTCTGTGTATCTCTTCTTAGTTGCAATTCCTGTTATCCTTCCTTCCTTCCTTCCTTCCTTCCTTCCTTCCTTCCTTCCTTCCCTTCCCTTCCCTTCCCTTCCCTTTCCTTCCTTCCCTCCTTCTCCATCACTGGAGGTTTTTAAGAGACTGGACAGCCACTTGTTCAAAAGAATAGAGAGTCTCTTGCCTGAGCAGGGGGTTGGACTAGAAGACCTCCAAGGTCTCTTCCAACTCTGTCATTCTGTCTTTTGATGGGCTTAGAAACAGTTTTTATTCTCTTTCCTCCTCCTCCTCCTGCTGCTGCTTGGAAT